AAGAAAGAAAGAAAGAAAGAAAGAAAGAAAGAAAGAAAGACCAATAATAATAAATATGATAATATAATTTTAATCAATTCTTTTTAAAGAAAAAAAAGCCTTTAAAGGAAAAGGCCAGACTGTAAAAAAGAGTGAAAAGATGAGCTACATCCTGGGAGAGAGTATCTGCAAACCAGTATCTGAGAGATGATTAGTGTCTAGACTACATAAAGAAATTTCCAAACTCAATATGCAAAGAAGAAATCTAATACAGACAGCCAAAAATACATAAAGACATTTCACCACGGAAGTCATACGCAGTCAGTAAGCTCATGAGAAGATGTTCAACACTGTTAGTCACCAGAGAAATCCAAGTTAAAATCACGAAAAATAAGCCGGCCAAAATGGCACGTGTCTGTAATGCCAGCATTTGGAAGCTGGGATAAGAGAATCACAAGTTAAGAGACTGGTGATGGGTTACACAACAAGACACTGCCTCAAAAATAACCGCCTCCATTCCCGTCAGAGTGACAGTGAAAACACACGGGAGGTAAAGAGGAAGAGCCCAGACCATTCACACAGCACTGTGAGAACGTAAACACACAGCCGCCCTGGACACCACTCGGCAGTGCGGCCCACAAGTCACTGCCGTTACACGGTCTGCTAGGTGAAACCTCACATCACACAAAGAAACTGCACACAAACGCTCACAGCTGCTTCATTCCCAACAGCCGGACACAGGAGACAGCCCCGAGCCCTCCCCGGGCAGATGGTTAGACTGTTACATGCACACCTGGAATGCTACTTAGCAAGACGAGGCAATGATAAAAAATTTAGATGACTCTCTAGGAAATGGGCAACCCAGAAGGTTATATACCGCAGGATCCACTTACGTAATGTTTTTGAAGTGACAGCTTAAAATAAGAACTAAAATGTGCTGCAGATGTAGCTCAGTGACACAACACTTGCCTGGCATGCGCAAGGCCCTAAATTCAATCCCCAGCACCAAACGGAAGGACAGAAGAACAACACTATAAACAGCGGCAACGCCTGTAACTTTAAATTGCAACAGAAAAGATAGATTGAGGGATGCACAGATTAACAAGTGCACGATAAAGAAAATACAGCGAAGTGTTCACAGCTGTAAAACACAGGCAACGGGCAAACGGGAGCTCACTGTGCAATCCGTTCGTTTCCTGAATGCTTGGAAATGTTCAAAATAAAAGGCTGGGCAAACATACATACCCACAAAACAGTTGTTCCTCTTCTTCTCCAGCACTTGGCTTATGTTTCTAATACTGCACAGTGAGAATTTATTGTTGTTAAGCTTGTCCCCCGAGGTTGCTCTGGCATACATGATGTAATTGCCGTTTTCCTTCTGTCCCAAATTCTTAGACTCTCCTGGCGTGCACTCTGTCCCAGAATCATGCTGTCGAACAGAATACGGGGTTACAAAGCAGGAAATCAAGGAGGTTTTCAGGTCATCGGGGAAATACAATCTTCTCATCAGAAGAAAAAAGAACCCATGGACTCCATTAGAGGGGAGATTACAACTGTGTGAGATTATGAGCAGGAAAACAAGTTTCCGTGCTACAGGCCACTGTCTTCGGAAAGGAGGAAAATCACGGAGGTCCAGCCATAACTTACAGCTTTGTAAGTACAGACTAGAGTTGAGGGCAAACTGTCATAAAAGTTTATTAAATATTTACTTTTACAACTAATAATAGTAATGTGAAGTATCTCAAAACTACTACATACTCTTCGAATTCTATGCTCCCTCACATGCGCTGCCCAGCTCAGGACAGACAGGTGGGAAGGGAAGGGAAAAGGGCCCGGCACAGGGCTGCGAGCACAGAGCGCGGGTCCACGCTGACGCTGGATGCAGGGCCCGAGAGGAGCAAGTACGCTCCGCGCAGAGGGAAACACAGCGCTCTGTTTCGAAATGAAATGAAGAAAACTCCAAGCTGGGCGTGGTGGTGCACACCTGGAACACACCTGGGGAGCCTGAGGCAGGAGGATCACTGTGCACTGGGGGCCAGCCTGGGCTACATGAGCTCAAGGCCAGCCTGCACTGCATAGTGAGACCCTGTCTCCAAAAAAGAAAGAAAGAAAGAAAAGAAAAGAAAACTCCGGACAAAAGATAAAAATATTGCTCTTCAGAACACAGGAGACAAAGTTCTGAGCGGCAGTGAGTGCTGAGTGCTTCCGGTTTTGGTAGAGTTCCCTTAAGTATCCGAGTACCAAAGCACAGCTCCCTGAATATTGCCCAAAGTAAAAACACCCACGTGACCACCACCAGGCCCCAGCAGCCCCCGCCCCCGGAGATACGCACTTAAACAAACAGGCCTCGCGAAAGCACTGGGTTCCAGAATGCTAGCTATTCAATAAGACCTTGTTTTGATATCAACAGCCCTCCCCCACAGAGAAGGCTCAGCGAGCCCATCTAAGGCATTCATCTTTTCTACTCCCCAGTATGAGGCACTACCTGTATTAAGACTGTGGCCTTTACTACCATCTTTATTCTCCCTGATACCTCACGCTTTTCCCTGAACCTCGAATCAGCACTTAGCAACTCTACCATCCTCCAGAATTACCTACCTTTGTGTTTCTATCCCGTATACTGCCGTCTGGCTTCTGACAAAGCACGGCACTAGCACTATTCTCACCATAAAATTCTGGGGAGAAATCCCAGCACCGTACACCTTCGTGTCACCCACAGAATACCCTGCCACCGTCAGGCTGACACACAGCGCCCAAGGCTGCATGGCAGCACTACAATATATGAAAATATTCAGGTGGAACAAGCACTGTCCCGGGGCCTCAGGCCTTTCACACTCCACAAAAAGCAGCCAATTCCGACCTCTCTGCCAGCAGGACCTCTTAGAGACGTGAGAATGGAGCACGGCTCACAGCGCGGGAGCCGGCAGCACCTCTGCAGCCACCCTCAGGTGAGGGAATAAAACAAGCTCACAGATAAGAGGAACAACAGAAACGTCGCTCTGACTGGCCGCCCAGTCGTGTCAGGAGGCTCCAAATCAAGAGTAAAGTTTCACGAAGAAACTGTAACCTCACTTTGATTTACAAAAAAAGACAGAAACTACTGTCTATTAAAAAATACTTATAAAGATGTAGAAAATTTAAAAATGGATCAAGAAAATCCAATTCTAATCTATGGACACAGTAGGTGCGCAATTATTACTAACATTGCCGACACTGGTCCATTTGCTACATGAGCTGTGTGCGGCTGTGTCGCACGCTAGAGTGAAGTTCAGTCCCTACCATGGGCCCAGGGACATGTGTGTTTCAGCTTCAGGTGTAAGGCACTGACAGGCGTTTGAAATGACTGTAGAGCCTTCTACGGTATTGTCCAATTGTGGGTCCATTTAGGGTGCTCAAGATTTTTGTTACTAAAAGCAGAAGCACAGCTGATCTTTTTTCAAATGTTCATTTTTCAAACACACATAACTCTGTAAATTCTCCATTTACTTCTTTGAGTTGGATATCAAGCAGCAGAATCACTGAGTCAACAACATGGGTCAAGAATTCAAAGGCAGAGCGGGGAAGAAACTGCCTTCCTCCTGGAGGAGAGTGCTGAAGGACCTGCCTGACAGGGGAGGGGAGGAGATAGCACAGAAAACGGACTGGGGCTTGACTCAGGGCACACTCCAGACAGTAAGATCAGGATGTCACGTCAGCACTATCAGCACGTAGTAGAAACAGGTTTTAAAAGGAAGTGGCGTAATTACAACCATATCTATACAAAGGTGAATCTGGTAAAGGTGGGTGCAGATTACAATTTTCAAACAGACACAGAAAGTTGTTTCGTTTTTTACTACAACTTCCCATAACAAAGCTTACAAAGCAGTTTACAATAGGTACACAATGAATATTCGAGACAGATGTAAGCAATGTGAACCCTCAGGGAGAAAGTACACTGACACAGTACAGCTACACAGCGGGAGACAGATTTCAGTGCAAGTGTCAGGGTAGATAGGTTCAGGAGTTTACATAGTTCTGACCTTACTACAGATTAATAAAACTCTGCTAAGCACCTACTATGTCCATGTAGCAGAATTTACAACATTACAAAAACTAGAGTGTATGGGTCACTAGCAGCGCAGGTGAGACGTGAACACAGCCAGCGGGCAGAGGAGGAGGACCGGTTTCTCGGTTCAGCCGTCACCAGTCCGTAACACAACATTAACGTGCTGAAAACAACCGACCAGCATCTGGACAAGTAGAAGCTCAGATGGACAGTGACCGGGTCTGGATTCCAGACCCCACACCTGCCCCTCAAATCTACAACAGCATCACCTGGGATGCCTGAGACATACAGAAACTCAGGCCCACAACAGACCCCCGAGACCGTTTGTACCGTGAGGGTCTCAGCTGACTGGTGCATGAGAGGCTTTGGAGCAGCGGACCACGGGGTAGGCAGGGAGCGCAACTCCCCAGCGAGGCCTGGAGCCAAGGGAGCTAACGGGGCAGGCGGCCTCCTCTGTATCTGAAAACGCACACTGGCCAATAGCAGCAGTTCTCTGCTTATCTCAAAAATCTAGGGATTTTGAGGCGTTTCTTTTCTGAGAGAGAGTCCTGCTGACTCAAAGCCACTAGGAAGCCCAGGCCACCTCATCTTTGCAAACCCTGTCTCAGGCGCCCAAGTGCTGGCAGTATAAGCATTTGAGACCTCAACTCAGCTCAAGTGCTGTTTTGATAATAACCTCTTGATTTCAGAGTGGGATTTAGAAGAGGAAAGGCAACTTACTGAAAGGGGACATTCTACAAACCTGAAGAAATCAGAGATGTGTATTTGCAGATCTTAAGTACAAGTGCACTATTTATTTATGTGTAGATGTATCTATGCATTGTGTTGCTAGGGACCGAACGTGGGGCCTTGTGCATGCTAAGCAGGTGTTCTACCACAGAGCTGCACCCTCAGGCCCTACAAATTATTTTTCAATAATACAACTTTTACAAGTGATAAGGTAAACTCATAAACTCATCAAATGAGTTGACATACACTTTCCAAGTGAAATTTTCCCAAACGTGATTCTTTAAGAAGCCCTAGCTGGGCACACGCCGTAACCTGTAACCCCACCAATGTGGAAGGCTAAGGCAGGGGGTTCACTGGGAGCTGCAGGCCAGCCTGGCTACATAGGGAGGTATCTACTAGCAGGTCTCTTACAGAAGGATTTGTGTCACGCCCGACGGGAGAGGCCATGTACCGACAGCTACGGGAGGGAAACCACAGAAGAACAAAGCCACGTCCACCTGCACCGCCCGCCCAGGAAACATGACCACTCTCTCTCCGCCCCCAAACTCCAAGGCAGCGGCCCTTCCCGCCCCCTGAAGTCCCCTGTTCCACCCTCGCTTCCTGCTGACTCTGCTCTCCGGACTCAGCCCGCCCCCACGGGAGTGAGGAAACAGCCACGGCTGCCTGCACAGAGCTCCCTCAGGTTGTCCCTCCCCTCCGAGCCTGTACCAATTTGCTAATTCCTGCTCCAGATGAAGTGAACTCTTTTCTCTTCTGTGTGAGTTAGAAATCTGTCACAATAAGAGATTTTAAAATACCAGTCTTCTTCCACAGCAGAGAAAGACAAATCCAAGTAAATCTTAATAATGCTTTAACAAAAACAAAGGAAAAAGCCGCTGCACAATTTGCTAAGGACTCTTAAGTGTACTTCAGACAGTGAGAAGGGATTCTCACTCAACACGTTTGAAGCATTATGTGCCACACACTCTCCTAGCCCCAAGTGTTAGATATTATTTTGTCCAAATAAACCAGACAAAATCCCTTCCTTTCCTAAGCCCTGACACTGTTATTCTTACAGTTCTTATTTGAATTATAAACATTCTATCTTCTTCCCTTCCAATAGGATTGAGTGTATTACTGCGTTCTGACATACAAACACCAAACATTCATATTTACATGGTTTCACGGTAAGCAAAAAAAAAAAATTCACTCAAAATGAAACGAGAATAACATTTTAAAAATCTGAAAGGCAATACTTACTGGAGATCCAAAGTTATGTCCAACCTCATGAGCGAAGGTTATGTGAGAGACTTTGGGAGGCACATGAGACCCGTAATTCTGCACAGTAATAATTCCAGTGTTCAGGGACTTCTTCTTACCATCAGAATACAGCTTACTTTTTTCACAGATTCCGCCAGAGCTTCCTAAGTTCAGAGCAACAGAAAAAGCTTCATTATCTACCTCATTCCACTTCCCAAAGAGCTAATACTAAAGAGCTAAATTAAAACATTTGCTCTTTTCAACCTAAAATACCTAAAATTGGTAATCGAATATATCAAATATTCAAAAGATTCTTTGGTTCAAGATTAGGAGATCATTCCAAATAACGTTTTAATGGTACCCAGAAAGAAATTCCCAACAGCAATACAAGCCATTATACAAGCCAGAAGTGGTGGTGCACACTTGTAATCTCAGCACTCAGGAGGCTGAGGCAGGAGGATCACTGAGTTTGAGGACGGCCTGGGCTAAACAGTGAGTTCAAGGCCAGCCTGAACTACACAGTGAGACCCTGTCTCAAAAAATAAATAAATAAAACAAAATAAAAACAAAGCCATTATACAATGTTCCTTCTCAAAATGTCCTCAATTTTGTTTAATTTCACAGGACGATATTTACATTTCTTTTAATCTATGCCTTTTCATCTTTAAAAAGAAAACTTCTGATTTAAGTCAAGTGAAAGAAAGTTGAACAAAACATTCACAAGTAGATTCTGAGAAAGTCACTTCTATAAACAGGAAGAATGCACCTAAGTATGTGATTTTCCGTTCTAAGATGTAATATAAACCGTATTTGTAAAAAAGAAAATTACGCCAATGGATTAAAAGGGAGAGTCCTGGGATCACAGGTGTGTACCACCATGTCTGGACACAGTTTATAACTTTTCTTTTTTTTTTTTTTTTTTAAGACAGGGTCTCACCATGTAGCCCAGGCTAACCTTGAACTCACAGCAATTCTCCTGCCTCAGCCTCCTATAGGCGTGCACCACCATGCCTGGCTGAGTATGTGTGCTTAAACTAATTTTTTTCTACTTTTGGAGATGTGTCCAAAGAACTACATCATTCGGGAAGTAGGAAATATATGAGTAAGTCCTGTGTATATAGTAATTACAAGTATAACTCACATATTTTAGTTTTAAACGAATAGTAAATTACTATCTTGCTTTAGGGAAGATTTGTCATATATAAATTCATCCAATATAATACATTCAAATGTGAATTTAGCACAGAATACTCTATATGACCAATCTCCATCAGTTTTTCTTTTTTAAAGCAAATAGGCAAAATTTTTTTTTTTTTTGGTTTTTCTCCGGTACCGGGAACCAAACTCACGACCTTGCGCTTGCCAGGCAGGTGCTTTGCCGCTGAGCTAAATCCCCATCCCAAATAGGCAAATTTTTAAAACTCCAGTAACACCTTCAACATTTTGAAGATCCAGCTAATTTAAGGGAAGATCATATATAAATTTAATTGTATTCTTCTGAAATATAGCCTTTTTAATTTTTGTCTTGTTTACCTTCTGAAATAACTGCTTTTTATCTTAGTGATTATTGCTTATGGTAAAGTTTAATATTTATTACAGATTAATAGCATATGTTGGAGTAACTCATACAGGAAAAAATAATATACTGCATGTAATTTTTAAATTATCATTTAATTTTTTAAAAATATTGCAACTAGTTCTGGTGTGCCAGAAACACAATTAGTGGTATCATAACTCAAGCTCACTAATACTTTATATTCTAACATTCTGTTACACAAAGTCATCTTGAAAAATACAAATTGTAAAATGAGAAGAAAATGTTTCTAATTCAAGTTAAAAGCAATTATTAATCAGAACAAACTGGTAATACTGAGACAGCTAACACAGGGGCTGAACCACCCTGGCAAGCCAGAGGAGTGGCCTCTCAAAGGGCGACAGAGGGGCGTGGAAGAAGCCAACAAAGGGGTGCTCTAACTTCGACAACTTCCTTTGTCAAGGAGCCACTGTTCTGTCTCTCAGGCAAACGACCATCAGCCTCCCGAGGGCTAGGATTCCAGGCACGCCACGCCCTGCTGCTCCTGCGTCTTAAACAGGTACTGCCCAACCAGCCCAGAGCACTCCCCCTTATTACAGAAGGATAGTTTCTTGACTAAAGCAATCAAAAGCAGTACTCAACTACAAGACAAACTTAGGCGCAAACAGGCTTGAGGGCGTACAGTGCTTGTCTAGTATATATGAGACCCTGGATTCGATCCCCAGCACGGCAAAAGACAGAAGAAAAATACTGGAAGAAGAAAATAGAGAATACTACTTAGAAGACTCAAAGGCGAGACACTAACTATTCGAATGTTCCCGCCCTCACTGTTTTCCCAGCTCACACAGATCAGTGGACCGCAGCTCACAATCAGAGTAACCCTCTGTGAACGCTCACGTAACAACGGCATAGCAGCACACGGCCACTGCCACACTTCTGAGTAACAGCTATCTCCAGAATTAAACGAAATCACGCCAAGTTACATCACAGAATACAGACAAACCAACACTAATGTTTTTTGTCTTTTGGAGACAGGGTCTCGCTATGCAGTTCAGGCTGGTCTTGAACTCACTTTGCAGCCCAAGGTCAGTCTCGAACTCGCAACGATCCTCCTACCTCGGCCTCCCAAGTGCTGGGATTACAGGTGTGTGCCACCATGCCGGGCCCAACATTAATTTTGACCAAAAAAAATGAAAGATTAAGAAACAGTAACAGATTACAAACTGAGTAAGTCGGTTAGGCCGTGTTATCTAAAAAGCAAGGCTGTTAGCAAGCATTCTAAGACTTCTAGGCAGAAACAGACGAAAGAAATTATAAAGCAGATTAAACAAGCTGAAGCAAAATGATTTACATGAATTTATAGAACTAGGACAGTTAAGAACCTAGTCTCACACCAGGCATGGTGGTGCATACCTGTAATAGCAGCACACAGGAGGCTGAGGCAGGAGGATCACCATGAGTTCAAGGCTACCTTCAGCTACAAAGCAAGTTCAAGGCCAGCCAGGACTATATAGGAAGACCCAGTCTCAAAAAAACAAAAACAAAACAAAGCAAAACGAACCCAGGCCCCCAGCTCTCGATCTACTGCTTTTGTTTTCTGTTCACGAGTACCTGTCTGTCTGCAGCACACTCTGTGACGCTCGTCGCGGGGCACTGGTACGCGTCTTCCTTCTTTTTACTTCCCTTGCCTCCTCCTCTCCCTTCTCCCTCCAGCTCTGGCTCCCCTTCCCATGTGCAGAGGATCTACCTTGCATTTCGTACTATCTTTTATTTTGTGCTTCTCATACGAGAGAAACCACGGGGTGTGTTTAAGCCCGTGTGTCTGGCTTATTTCACTTAGTATCATGGTTTCAAGGTGCACCCATTTTCCTACAAATGGCTCCGATTTACCCTCTCAGTGGCGGGCTCCGCTCCCCCGCGCAGACACACCACCCTTCCTGCGCCTGTCCATCTGCTGACGCCGCTGGGCCGCTGTCCCCCCACCCCACCCCACCCCACCCCAGGTGCTGCCCCAGGCGGCAGTGACCGAGCTGAGTACGACCATGTGACTCCTCTCTCTGAAAAGAGACGGACCCCAGCAACACACGCATGCAGCCTCTACTGGGAAGCGGGGCACAGGTCGGCTTCTCCTAGGACGCGACAGCACGCACACTCAGCAGCGTGACTACAAGGGCGCGACGGCACACACACTCAGCGACACGACCAGCGGGCGCGCTGACTCCGGGTCAGAAGAGCCTGCGTTCTGTTCCACCTTGGTGCAGTTCGAGGTCGGTCACGGAGTTTCTGAACTCAGGCTTCCTCATCTACAGAACAGAGGTGAGCACCTGCACCTCACCCAGGCGCTGCGCTCATCCAGGGGCCCACATCCACAGCGTCCCTTCTAAAATTAACCACAGGAAATGTGTGTCCAGTCTAAAAGTGGCTCAGCCAGCGAGGCCAGCCTGCAGCCGGGAGAACGCTGCCAACGGAGGCGCGAGCTGGGCTCGGGAGCACGGACGCCTTCCCTCCCTCCCTCCCTCGTCCTGCCCTGCTGCGGGCCCAGCCCGCCCCTCCCAGCGGCCCCTGGAGGACAGAGCTGCTGGGACCTGGAGCTCGGGTTCAACGCGGAGGAAAGGCAGAGGGCGTCTGATGCCCGACACGAAGGGAGCGGCTGCAACACGGGGGAGAAGCAAGCGGGCAGAGGGGGACACGGAGCAGACGCCGAGGAAAGGTGCCGCGCCCTCCGTTCCGGCCGCTCCCAGTACCTTCGTTCATCGGTGCCGGAAGTGCCCTGCGTCCCCACAGAACCGAACGACGGGGACAGCAGGGGCGTCTCGCCGTCCCCAGTCCCGCACTCTGCCCGCACCTCGGGACAACGACAGCATCACCAACTGTGGCACTGCCAGCACAAACAACTACACAGACTGAGTGCGCCCAAGCCCACGGCCCCGTCAGTCGGAAGAGCAACTCAGATTCCCATGAGCAGCACCCCCAGGACAGCGGACTGGGCCTCTCGTGCCACCTGCTCCGTGTTTCTGTAATTCGAAAGGAAGATGGAGGGAGGGAGAGAGCGAGAGCAGAGCCTGTTTTTGAAGTACCAGGTATCTGCATGAAGCTGACCGAAGATCTGGAATCGGCTGACCAGGCACCTGCAGGACCGCGGCGTCCTCCACGAATGCTCTGCACACGGGGAGGCAGGAGGCAGAAGTGCTCAGCCTGAGGTCACCCTCGCTCGCCCGCAAACACTCTGTGAGCCGTGAGCGAGCGTCACGGACAAAGCCCGAGCGCGGCCATCCTCAGCCTTCCCGCGCACCAGAACCGCCAGGGGCACGGCCCGGTGCCGGCGCAGAGATCCGGGGTGAACAGCGGGCGGGGCTCACGGACCCACGTCCCCAGCAGGCGCCTCTGTGGGGGAGACGCGGGTGCTGCTGGCCATGGACCCCGCTACCGAACAACCTATGTGAGCCTAGACAGCCGTCGTACTTGTGGAAACTACACAAAGAAAAAGCAAAGGAGCCCAGGGGTCTTAGGGCACGCCCTTGCGAGTAGGGAGAAAAGACCACAAACTTCGTGATTAAATCATCCGACTCTCTGAGGGGGCAGAGGACTTCAGAGTACAACAACTATAAAGTATAAGCTGGCCACAGTGGCTCACACCTGTAATCCCAGCATTTGGGAGGCTGAGGCAAGAGGATCACCAGGGAGACCCTGTCTCGAAGGAACGAATGAACGAATGAATGGAGTTACAGGATGTAGCGGTGTGGTGGTCCACGCCTGTAACTCCAGCACTCAGGGAGGCCCAGACAGGAAGATCGCAAGTGTGAGCCCAGCCTGGGCAACCAGGTCAGACTGTCTCAAAATAAAAAGCGAACGGACAGGCAGGGATGCAGCTCAGTACAACGGCCCCGAGTTCAATTCTCAGCACTTCAAACCATGTCAAGTATCACAGGAAAACGGGAGTTGCACAGCTTGTGGCAGTGCAGAGAAAGAAACAGCACAGACTGCAACGGACACTGTCCAAAGCGCCGCACTGCGATACGCAGCTCATGACGTAAATCTGCATCGTAGTAACATCATGAACTGAGTTCGCTTCAAACATGGAAGAAAAACAGAAGCAGCCCTGGAAGGTGTAGTAAGGACAGTCATTGCCGGCTTTAAAGGAAAAAGAGCAAGGGATACAAGAAGAACACACACTACTCCTGAGGAACTTAAAATACACTAGTAACACTAGGACTGGAAGGAAGCCGGGAGCAGAAAGAATTAAAGCGTGTTACGGACACGACCGACTCCCCACCACAAACGCAGTCACTGCCCGTGCGCACCGACAAACACCGTTACAGAGCAGAGAGCAAGCCAGTAAGAATGAGAGCACAGAATGCCTCGCCCTGGAGAAAGCAGAAGCCGGTTTTGTAAAAAAAAAAAAAAAAAAAGTAAAATAAAGAACTGACGCATCAGAAGAACGGAGAGAGGCCAGGGGTGCAGTGCCCGCCGGGCACGCGAGAGGTCCTCAGTTCGAGTCCCAGTACCCAAAAGGGGGGTGCTTTATATAGCGCCACAGCTCCATTGTCTTTCAACTAACCAACTAACCTGGGGGCTGCACTGATCACACTGTGAGAGCTCTGCGCCCCCACTATGCGAGGGGACGGCCCTGCCTCAGTGCACAGTCTGCAGGGCTGCCGTGGGGACCTCAGTAAAACTCAGGTCGAGGGGGCTGACGCCAGGGGAGCGGTGGGTGGTAGGGCTCTTTTCAAGCAGCACTTTTCTCTCTCTCTTCTTTCGGTTTATTTTTGAGACAAGATCTTCCTTTATAGTTCAGGTTGGTCTCAAACTTGTGGTGACCCTCCTGCCTCAGCCTCTGGAGTGCTAGGATTACAAGCATAGGCCACCATGCCCGGCTAGCACTTTCCTTTCTAAAATAGAAACTAGAAATAAAATAATAATAAAGGCAGGTTTTCCTTTCCTGCTGCTCCTCGCCAGGGCTTCTCCACTCTACCTCCCTGCACAACAGAAAACAATGCTTTCTCTCCTTCTGACAAGGCAGGAGCAGCTGTCCCCTCCCAACTCTCAGCCCCTATTCTGAAAATTAAGTATTTATTAACAGTCATACATAATATAGATTTCATGGCATTTAACTTTTGTGGGGAAAGAAATTCCCATACAATCATCTCAGCTACTGAATGTACCAAAGTGCCCAGCTCTTTGTCTGGACTCATTTCAGAGTAAAAGGCTGCCTCGCGCCTCCGCCATCCACATGACGGCCAGGCCCTTCAGGACTCCGGGGTGCGAATGGGGCTACGGTAAACACCGCGCTGCCCTGCTCTGAGCCGCTCAGCTTCCCGGGCGGCTCTGCCCCGCGTGGAGAACAGTGAGAGCAGCTACCTGAAGGCGCTCCTACCCAAGCCAGACCCAGGACGCCGTCGTCGAAGTCTCGGTCCGTGAAGACGTAGGCCAAGCAGTAGTCGTCGTGGTTCTGCTCGGAGTTCAGCTCCAGGAACTTCTCCACGCCGATGTTTGGGAATCGGAAGGGGTTCGTGGGGTCCTTCTCATCAGCAGTTGTGTTGATCTAGAACCCAGCACATTAGGGCATCAGGGGCAGCGAATCCGAGGGTGTCTCCGCACCTCCCCCCGCGTCTCATGGCACACGGGGACCAGGGCCACCGGGCGCCCCACCCACACCGTGGGCTGATCACAGCACCGAAACATAAATGAGGGCAGGCCTCAGAACGTCTAGCGTGGGGTTTGTGTTTTTTTATTTTTGCAGAACTGAAGACTGAGTCCTGTGGCACTCTGCCGCTGAGCTACACCCCCAGCCTGTTTTCTAAATTCATTTTTTATTTTGAGATAGGGGCTCACAAGCTGCCTTGACGGGACCTGACCTGGTGAGCTTCCTGCCCCAGCCTCCGCTGTGCCAAGCTCAGAACATCTGGTTTACCCACTAACAACCAAAAGCGTTCAGCTATAGTCAGTCACGTAATACAAAAAAATACAAAAGCAACCACATGTATATTATAAACAGCCCATGATTACAAACACAGATGGCTTTCTACTACTGAATACAAAAATGAAATTCCCTGAAGCCGAGCGTGGTGGAGCACACCTGTAATCCCAGCACTCAGGAGGCTGAGGAAGGAGGACTCTTGCAAGATCGAGACCAGCCTGGGCTACAGAGTGAGCTCAAAGCCAGCCTGAACTGCAAGTGAGACCCTGTCTCAAAAAGACAAAAAAAAAAACTTAGATACTTCTGTAATACTGGCTATTAAGTTTTTTTAAAAGCATCTAAATTTAATACATATATTAAAATATATTATTAATGTTTAAATATTTACTGATCAAATATAAATTCTAAACTGTTTAATGAATTATATACAACCTTCAACAGATGAGATTTAAACTACAATTTTAAGCCAGGCATGGTGGCACACTCCCAAGACGCAAGAGGCTGAGGCAGGAGGACTGCCCAGAGTTCTAGTCCAGCCTGGACTACACAGTGAGACACTGTTTCCAAAAAATGAAAACAAAAAAAAAATTTTTTAATTATAGTTTTAATCTCAATAAAGGTCTGAAAACAACCAAATGCCACTCATTTACATACATGCATTTTTTTTCATAATGCAAACCATTTTACTTTTAAAAAGGTGCTCCAGCCAGGTGTGGCGGCAGACACCTATAATCCCAGCATTTGGAAGGCTGAGGTAGCAGGATCACCGTGAGCATCAGGCCAGCCTGGGCTACACAGTGAGACCCGGTCTGAAAAACAATGCGCTTTACCAGAACTGGCTCAGGTGTTCTCTGTTTTCCACCCTACTGTACTGCCCTGCTTACTGAACAGCAATACGGACTTGCCGCTGAGCACTTCTACAGGCTCACTTAGCTTTCACAGGCTTCTCTGAACACAGGAAAGCAACCGACCAGAGCTCTTACACTGTGAGTCTACAAACCCCTGCACCGTAAGGCAGTCCAGTGTCAGATCTAGTCATGCTGCCTTTGCAGGGACAGCATGTGCAGCTGTGTTACTAAACACACTATCGTCTTCTGGTGCATGCATTTATCTAGTCAACCATATTTTAAGACAAACAGGGAAACAAATATGCAGAAACACTGTGGCAAATACAGTAACAGATTTCTTTAAACTCAGGCTGTGTATCTAGTTTACAAAGTCTTAAAAAGCTGTACATGTACCTTCAGATAACTCAGAAGACTTTTGAAACAATTAGTTCGACTTTGTAATTCAGTAATTTTTTTTGTACTGGGAATTGAACTCAGGACCTTGTACTTGTCAGGCATATTTATTTATTTATAATCTATAACAGGAAAACTAATAACCATTGACCCTGCGATTCTGAAGCAACACTTCTTAAAAGGCGTTTGGTAACTTTTTGGAGTCCTGGATGATATTAACATAAAAAAAGGCTCTGTGGTCAAATTAATTTAGAAAAATATGGTTTCCTTTCCTGAAAGAGTTCTTAAAACTTGATATAAATTTTTAAAATAGATTACAGCATAAGTGTTTTTCCAACTTTCAGGATTTTGGATTTTTTGTTGTTGTTGTTTTATTTTTTTATCTCTTTGAGACAGGATTTCACTATGCACTTCAGGCTGGCCTTGAATTCATTTTGTAGCTGAGGCTGGCCTCCAACTCACAGTGATCCTCCTGCCCCTGCTTCCAGAGTGCTGGAATTAGAGGTGTGCGCCACTACACCCAGCTTGCAACTTCCAGTTTTAAACACTGCATCTGTCTTCCCTCTCCCTTGGAACCACAAAGTAAATCTTCTTTTTTTTTGTACTGGGAATCAAACTCAGGGCCTCATGCTTGTCAGGCAGGCGCTGTGCTGCTGAGCACCATCCCTGGCCCCTACAAAGCAAATCTTAAACTGGGGAATAAGATGAGAGGAAAAGCAACGTGTAGTTTCCTGTAAGTTCCTGTGGGGCTGGGGCTTTCCTAATGGTACGTTACTCAGGCAGAAAACAGTTCTAGCCAGGTGTGATGGCCAACACCTGTAACCCCAGCACTCGGGCAGGCTGAGGCAGGAGGGTTGTTGAGAGTTCGAGACCAGCCTAGGCTACAAAGTGAGCTCAAAGCCAGCCTGAACTACAGAGTGAGATCCTGTCTCAAAAAAAAAAACAAAAAAAAACAGTTCTACTTTATCTCTAGTTTAGTCCAGATTTAAACCCTGTAGATTTAATCCTTAAACCATACACCCAAGGTGTCCCCGAGTGTACCCATGTGTAAAAGCCGAGAATAAATGTAAACAGTAGATACAAGGTAATTATTTAAATTACTTAATCATCGCTTAAAGTATTTGTTCCATAAAGATGAAGTAAAAAGCGAGTATGTTTCCTTGTGTAAGCACGGTCACTACTTCACATCTTAATTTCCTTTAACTATTAAAGCTGCTTTTGGGTCTGGGGATTTAGCTCAGCGGCAAAAGCGCCTGCCTGGCAAGCGCAAGGTCGTGAGTTCGGTTCCCGGTACCGGAGAAAAACCAAAAAAATAAAATAAAATAAAGCTGCTTACCCTTATGCGTTTCACCATGAAACTGATGTTTCGGATTCCAGAGAAGTCCGTGGTCTGGTAAATTGTATCAATTGCTTTAACATGACTGGATATCTATCAATGGAAAAGGAGAACACGTTAGAGACATTTATTCTGAAATATGAAAAAGATTATAACCTCCACGTCCAAAGTGTAGAATTAATTATGTCCCACAACGTCCAGACTTTGAAGTGTCTCCATCATACACTGGACAAAAGGGCAGCGAGGATCAGGGAGCTGCAGCTGAGACGTTCTGCGCCTCCCGGACTCCTCTCCGGCCAAATGCGCGAACTGAGACCCGCTCTTGCTCTGCGCGTATAAAGCGGCTCCTCGATGCGCCCCACAGTCACAGGCCTGCGCCTTCCCTTGCAGCGCCTCCGTAGGGTCCGGAATGTGCATCTGTCCGCACGGACTGACTCAAACCTCCTGTAAGGTCCTCCCTGGGGCGGGTCAGGACTGGCGAGAGCTCCGGCGGCGCTGACCGTGTCCGCCGTACACGCACGCTGTCTGCCTCGGCTGCTCCACACGCGCCTTAGCCGGTCCTCGGTTTCCGCCCCTCTCCCAACGGGACCACGCGCACGCTCCTCCAGACGTGCTGCTACCCTGCACTTACGAGCACCCCCCCCCCACCCTCCCTACCCACCCCACCTCCCTCAGAGTACGTCTGCCTTGGAAGCACACTGTTCTTTCTCACTGACCCCGACCCTCACCGGCTGTTCACAACCTTCCTCTCCGAGGCACTGCGGATGCTCCAGCACGTCTGCGCCTTTCTCTCTTACCTCACACTGCTCCTCTCCTGAGTCCCTTTCCTCTGCCTACAAACGCGCTCGTGCACTCCCTACGTTCCCACAGCCCCAAATTCCACGCTATTTCTAAGCCACCATACTCTCTCCTGTTTCTCACATCTCTTCAAAGCCTCACCGTCACCCCTGCTCAGCTTTTGCTCATCGATAACCTTCCAGCAACTGGAAACCACTTTCCCTCGACGGTACCACTCGCTGGGCGCTCTCCCTCCCTGACCCTCCTTCACCTCCGCCCGCCCCCCGCCACACACAGCGCAGCGACCCCCGCGACCCAGTCCTCCCCGTAACCGCCCTCCTGGCTCTCTTCAACTTCACGCGGGAAGCCCACAGCTGCCCAACCCTCAAGTTCCAGTTCCGTGTCCTCCACACCCTAAGAACGGTCACTTGGGCTTTTTTTAACTGAGACAGGGTCTTGCTCCGTAGCTCAGGCTGGCATCGAACTTACTACGCAGTCACTGGGTTTTTACACATAAGCTAAGCTCGCTCCACCACCACAATGAACCCATCGTCTGCACCGGCTGCACTTCCACTCTCCTGGCTTCAAACCCTCTCAATCCAGAATGCATCCACTGGCCTCCTCCCAGGGCACCCCAAGGCCATCTGTAGGAGCACCCTCAGAAGTGGGAACTTTCGTAAGAACTCAGAACACACAGCACGACTGGAGCCTCAAAAGGCGCTAAGCACAAGGCGAACCCAGAGCAGAAGCTGTGCCTCTGGTCAGGAGGATCCCTCTGTCCTCCGGGGTTGCAAACCAGAGCCGTCTTCAAAGGCATTCGTGCCTGGCTAGCACCCAACCCCAGCACCACCTCCGAGGGCAGAACACAAAGGTAAGCCTCCAGGACGCCATCCCTCCGGACGCCACTCCCCACGCCTCTCTGGCACACACCACCCTGGCCGGTCTGCCAGCCACCTCTGCGCTGCCCTGACGCACTTCACGTCTGCCTCTTCGCCAAGACACGTACGCTCGCTCACTTCAGTTTCTGAGGGAAAACGGGTGTAACCCGGCAAGAGAAGAGCTAGGACAGTGCATAATCCCACGCACCTGGGCAATCACAGCTTCCCGGGTTCCGTAGTACTTATAGAAGAGGTGATCCGTCTGAATATAGAGCTGACAAGTATTTCTTTCAGCTAAAGTCGTGCGCTTTTTCCTCAGGAGTTCTGGGCCATTCGGAGCATGTTCTTCTTGCGGTTTCTATACATCAAAAAGAGTTACTTCTGATAATGAGCATGATTTACTTTATAATTTTATAGTTAAGACTACACAGTGGGCAGGGATACACACACATACTAAACAATGTCACATTATTATTATGCAGTATCGGTTTTTCAATGCCACTAGAAGTCTCTCAGTAGCGCAGAGGCCAGCAGGGGCTAGAGCAGAGGGCGGGTGAGAGGCGCCCCCACAGCGGGGTGGGGTGGGGGGCGGCTCTGGAGCTGTACACACAGCACGGCACAGCACAGCGGGCACTGGCGGTCCGCACCCGTCCCACGAGAGGGGCGGGAGGCACGACGGAGGGTTCCCAGCGCAGAGAGCTGGGATCTGCGGGGGGGACACTACGCACCCTCACACCACATCCGTGCATCGAACTTCAATGCTGTGCCCCAAACACACACACACAACTGATTTTAAAATTCCGTATAAACATCTCCTTTGGTTAAATAATAGTCTCCAGACAGATGACTAAAGATACTAAAGCTGTGTGTTGGACATTTGAAAACCACAGTCTACCTGAAGCGAATGTCCCACACACAGCTGTAATAGGACTTCATGCAAGGCTTTCATTTGGATGGTTTCCAGATTTCCAGCATTAGTTTGTAAATGACTAAAACTCTGAGAAGCACTCCAAGTGCACATATATGTGTTACACTCCTATTTACAACTGTTAGTCTCTACAAAAAGGAGCTCTCCATAAACCTAGCTACTGCTGAAGTCGTAAAGACAGGATTTTCCACTCCAGAAAAAAAAATCTGAGTGTTTTAATCTGAAAACAACTTTTAACATTTTAAAGTAAAAAGTCAGTCTCTTTTTTTTGAGACAGGGTGTCGCTACGTAGCCCAGGCTGGCCTTGAGCTCACTGCAATCCTGCTGCCTCAGCCTCCCGAGAGCTCGGATTACAGGAGTGCACCTCCACACCTAGTTTAAAAAGTCAGTCCTAAAGCCAGGTGTAGTGCTGTGGGCCGAGACCCTACCTCCAAAAAGTCACTCTCTGATAAGAACAGGAATTCACATGAAGGTGCTCGAAACTATTACCAAGTGGTTCGGATATTCCAGGCCTTTTCGGGGTGCATTCTGCTCACAGTGCAGGGCCTGGGGACGAACCCAGAGCCTCTGTACTGAGCTGCACCCTACGCCTAAGAGTGTTTCCCAAACACTTTTTCCTTTTCTTAACATTTAGAGACAGGACCTCTTACTAAGTTGCCCAAATTAGGTTTGAACTTAACAATCCTTCCTGCCTCAGCCTCCCAGATGGGTTTCATTCTTTGTCTATTTTTAAAGTAGAACAAAATCTCCTTTTGGTTTTCCCAGCGTTCACCTTCTGCATGTCGGTGTGACAGACGGAGCTGGCCTGCTGCGCCGCGGTGGGGACTGAAGCTTCCATCACTACGAGGTAGCGGCTCCACTCCAGTTACTGACACGCACGACCTTCACTGGAGCCAGCGAATTCTGTCCCCTTGCAAAAGGCTGTACGTTCAGCCTTTTCAGAGCCTTCCAGTTTTGTACGTTTTATATCCCAGCCCCTTGTCTAAACTTTGAGACAGGGGCTCCCAAGGTGCTAAGTGCCCTGGGCTGGGGGCGGACTTGCTGGCTCCTGCCGCAGCCTCGTCTCAGCTTCCTCTCAGCTGCAGTTACAGGCGAGTGCCAACCTGCCGCTTCACCATTTTTTTAATGGAATCCGGAGAGTTTGTTACACATTCTGACGAGAAGTCATTTGTCACACGTGCTGTAAATATTTTCTGTCTATGGCTTGTTCTCACATTTGATCTGAGTCTTTTGAGGTGAAGTTTTTCATCATGGTAAAATGTAGTTCACACTTTTTTTGTTTTGTGTCCTAAGAAATTATCTATCTGAAAATCATAAAAATTCCTTCTCTATTTTCTCGTTTTAGTTTTAGCATGTAAATCTACTGTAATCTTTACTCAACTTTCTCTTTTACCTAACTTTTTACTGTTTTCTCTCATCACTTTGAGCCAATTTTTATATAAGGTATATAGAGACTTTTTACCCCATAGGGATATTCAATTGTCCCAGCAGAACTTCATAAAAAGACTGCTCTTTCCTTCTTTCAATTACCTTGAGACTTTCAAGAAATCAAACAGACTGTTCTGTTCCACTGATCTATAAACTCTTACTCTTAGGTCAAGATGACACCGTCTTGATTCCTGCAGCTTTACAGTAAGTCTTTTTTTTTTTTTTGGTTTTTCTCCGGTACCGGGAACCGAACTCACGACCTTGCGCTTGCCAGGCAGGCGCTTTTTGCCACTGAGCTAAATCCCCAGCCCCTACAGTAAGTCTTAATAACCACGTAGTCAAAACCCTCCGGCCTTGTTTGTCTTATGGGGTTTTTTCTGGTTTTTTCCTTCTTGAAAACTGTTTTGGCTATTCCAGGTCCTTTACACGTCAGCATTATTTTCAGAACTAGTTTTTTAACTACTTAATAAATCATCACTAGGGTTAATGATGAATTCACTACTACACACTGTGTCCACTGTAGGTTTTTATTACTGTTTTTATGTTTGTTTGGGTTTTTATGTTTGTTTTTGTTGTTTTATGTTGGTTTATGTTGTTGGCTGTAGGTTTTTTACAGGAGCTCGTAACAGTCTGAGGAAGTTCTTGCTATTTTTTTTGCCAAGCGCTGGTGCTGAAACTCGAAAAACGCTTTGTGAACAGCCTGCGGGTGTAACTGCTGGGCTTTGCTGCGAACTTGCGCTCTCCCGTAGAGTCGCCGAGACACAGGTGTGTACCACGGCCTGAACCGGTCTTGGGTTTTTACTGCTCTCACCATCTCAACTCTTAATTAATATTTAGTCCATTTACATTTAATGTAATCATTGATGTGGTTAGATTTAAACTTACTACCTTGGTATTTCTCTTCTACTTGTCCTACCTATTCTGTGTCATTTTGTGTCTCTTTTCCTACCTCAATTTGGATTATTTTTAGTTACATCTGATATCCTTCCTTGACCTGCTAACTATCCCCTCATTTTTTCACTGGCTGCTCCAGTGCAGCGAAATTTCTGTGAACCTTTTCTTAGAAGAGTTTTTATTAGTACACATTTGCAGTGCGTAATGACTGCGTTCATCATGGGAACTGGCACACGGCACACCCTAATCCTCTGACCCTCCCCCTCTCCTCCCCTGTCTTCCTTCCCTCCCTCCATCTCTCAGTCAAGAGTTTTGATAGTGGCCAGGGATGACGGTGTGCCTATAATCCCAGCACTCTGGGAGGCTGAGGCAGGAGGACTGCATGTTTGAGCCCAGTCTGGGGAACTTAGTAAGACTGTCTAAAAATTTTTTTTAACTTAAAAAGAACAGGAGATGTAGCCCAGTGTGAAAGCCCTGGGTTCAATCCCCAGTACTGCCACTAAAAGAGGTTTGACAATAATATTTAGACTTTCAGACTATACAGTCTCTGCCACTATTCAACTCATCCCTACAGCTCAGAAGCACCCAGACAAGGCGTCAACAAGTGGGTGTGGCTGTGTCCCAGCAGGGCTGTACTTAACCACAACAAGACCCTGTGAACTCACTTTGTAGCCTAGGCTGGCCTAGAACTCACAGTGATCCTTCTGCCTCAGGCTCCGAGTGCTGGGATTACAGGCGTGCGCGACCACGCCCGGTCAGTGATTCTTTTTCACGCTTGTTCTGAAGCACATGACATTCTCTGAATTACTACTGCTACTACTACCCTCTCTTTCACTGTATTTCTGACAGTCTGCTGCTGATATGGACAAACGCAACCTACCTGTGTGTATCAGTGCTGTATTAAGCCGCTCAACTCCAACTCTTCTATCCCAGCTCAACGATGAGTTTACTCCCGCTGTCCACATTGCTAGCACCTTTGGTAAAACCCAGTATCACCTCAACTGAGCAACATGGGCAACTACTGATTAGTTTCCTGGACCCTCGTTAGAGATTCTTTATTCCCCTTTCTACATCTTCCCACAGTACTGTTCCCTCCTGCTTAGGGTACTCACCCTACCTCCGGGGGGGGGGGGGGGGGGGGG